TTCTTTTCGTTATGGCTCCCATATATCTTTTTCACATTTCAACACATTTGCTGTGCTAGTATTGCACATTATGAGAAATAATGTTCTTGCATTGCAGGCCTGAACCTCAGAGACGCTTGCAGGGAGCAGGAGGGGAAGAAAGTAAAGGATACCAAGCAGACAGTGACAGGTCAGAGAATGTTCCGAAGTCGAGCTGGTCTAAGCAAGAAAAATCCGGTGACTGGACACAACAACAGCAGCAGAAGCAAGAGTCGGTGGAGCAGCAACCGCAGCCTTCTAAGGGATATCGCACTGATCCAGTTTATGAGATAAAACAGGAAGTTAGCCAAAGAAGGTAGAGACAGGATAAGACCAAATAACATGCAATGCCTACAAGTACTGATAGCAGTTGTTGTACTGATGGCTGTGTTCTACAGTACAAAATGATTGCTTTGTACACAGACACACACACACACCTACACATACATACACATACACACACTCACAAACACACTGTTGTTGTTCGTCCATCACGAGTGATAAAGACCACTTTCATTCAAAGTAGTAATGATCAGTTATTATGAATACGACGGTGGCTGATTAGTCCAATATGAGCCTGGAAAGTTCTTGAGCAGTGCAGACAACAGATGGGACCTGCAGTAGGTGTGGGATTAGCAGTACGATTCTTTCTAGTCTGCCTCCGTTTCTCTGCCTGTGCAACCTCTGCTGCCCGGCAGGTCGATTCACCATGCCTGAGGGGTGTACGCCATCCAGAACGGTCTTGTGCAGCAGCCTGTCACGTCGCTGTGTTGATGCCAAAAGAATTGAAAGCAGTCTTGAGAGTGTCCTTATAGCACTTTTCCTGTCCTCCCTGGGACCTCTTCCCTTGCTGGAGCTCGCCATAAAATACTCTCTTTGGGAGACGAGATTCTGGCATGCGGGTTAGGTGACCAGCCCAACGCAGCTGACAGTTCTTCAGTATCGTGTGGATGCTAGGCAGCGCCCACCCACACACACCCCCACACGCAGACACACACACACACTTATTAAATGAGATTTCGTTAGAAATAGTACCGCAGTAAAGGTTGGCGGAATATCTTCCTCTTCTTTGCGATCACCGGCTGTACATTCCGGTGGAGAGTTTTAGTTGTCCATTTCTGGACTTAAGTCTTTTTTCCAGGACTTACGTTTGCCGTGCATATCCGTTTTACAGATCTGACTTACTTATTTACAGATTGTTGGTTCCTCACAGCTCAGGCAGATGACCTCCGACCTTAAAGAAAACACGTATAATCAGTCACTTTCTACAGGATATTTGTGTTGGGTGCAGTGAGTTTCTTCTCTCTCTCTCTCTCTCTCTCTCTCTCTCTCTCTCTCTCTCTCTCTCTCTCTCTCTCTCTCTCCCACTCCCCCACCCAAAATACCGATGATCCCTTAACCGCTCATGGGTCTAAAACCATTTCCGCTTTTCGGATCATGATTACTTTGCATGAGATTGCCTTTTTTTTTCAAGTATCTAGTTGAAGGTCAGTTGGGCTAATTATACTAAATGACTAGCGATACACTTGACAGAAAAGAGCCGGAGAAAGACAACGATATGAATAAATGGATGGCTGTGTCACATAGCATGGTTTGGACATGAACACAGATCTGATCCATGATTGAGCTGGTCGTATGAAGGACCAACCATGACCACCTTTGTATACCTATATAATACATGAGAGGGATGATCATACACGCGAGCTTCACATTTCTCTTTTAGTACTATTACTGTACATCTGCCTAAGAGGCAAGGAGCCAACAGTCTGGTTATAAATAAGTCAGATCTGTAAAACGGATGTGCACGCAACACTCGGGTTCTGGAAAAGACTAATGCTTTGAGGTAGACGATTATCCAGAAAGTTTACAGCCGGTGAACGTGAAAAAGACTATTTCAATTACTGTTATGAATCAGGCATCGGCATTTACTCCTAAAATAAGTAGGTAATATTGTTTTTGATTCAATACATAATGAGTTTGCTAAATAAATAATATGTCAACTTTCTTTATATCAACTCAATGATGATTAATTCGTTCTTTATGTCCAAGAGCAGTGCTGCTACCCAATTTCTCGTGTTATTTACTGTTCAGTATTTGACAATTGTGATATTCTGTTGATATTCGCTGTTTCCACAGAGACAAACATGGAAGTGGTAACCAGGTGTCGGGCAAACAAAAAGAGGACACTGATTGCTAGTAAGTACATATATGCCACACATTGCTATCATATCCTGGTCTATACATTGAGACAAAGCTTGGTTTTTATCTCTGGAGTGCTGGACTTATTGATGACATCGTAAGGATACATGTTTATGATTAAAGCATTGTTTACAGAAACACGGTGGGACAAACGCTCTTGTGAGCATGTGAGTTTTTATCAAAATCACAATAAACCGATCTCCTACTAAATTTATCTTCTTCTTCTTCGCGTTCGCGGCTATAAATTCCAGCGCAAAGTTCGGGTTATTCGTCCATCTTCGGACTTTAGCCTTCTTCCAGAACCTGAGTGTTGCTTGCATATCTGTTCTTCAGATCTGACTTATGCGTATGCAGAACGTTGGTTCATCCCCTCTCAGGCAAATGCACTCCGACTTCGAACGATGCTCTCAGCCGACTTGTATGGTATGCTGGTTGGGGAGGCAGTGGGTCTATTCTTGATTCTCACTACAATAGGGTCCCCAGAACCCATTCGGGGAGAAATGTATCAGTTCATGTCCTCTCATTTTCCCATGCCATCATGGGACACTGACTAGACTGTTATCCCCCTAACGCCCTCTATATCCCCTCCCCCATTAATCTAAACATAATATTTATATATTTTCTATTATCATGACACAGTCTGCACAGGCCAGCGGGAAATCCATCGCTGTTCGAGCGGTGGTCAGATGGACAGTGGGTGGAGGAAGACTGTAACTGGCCTTTTTACACAGGCCTCGTGTGGAACCAGGACTCTTGTCGGTGTGTGTGGGGACCCAACCGTACCGTCGCTGTGCCTAATGTTGAAGAAAGTAAGATGCAGTCATATAGTTGTAGTAATAATTTTCACAAACATATCCTGTTCAATCCACAAGTTTATTATTGGGATATCAATGATATAATTTCATTGGTTTCTCAAAGTATGTATTTGTTATTTTTATATATCCTGTAATTATTTATTTAAGTCAATAAGGTCATGTGTTTCAAATATTGCTTTGTTTACATCACAGTTATATCTTAGTTACATCTGCGTTATATCCTTAATCATTATGTCTCTCATATCTATATCTCAGTTATATCTCAGTTACAAATGAGTTATTTACCAGCTGAGTGAATTGATGTTGTTACGGAGATTTTGTCTGCTATGAAAAAGGAATAACGATATTATTATCGACTCTTTCAAAAATAATTATAAAAAAAAAAATACTTTATTTTGCAGAAGAAATTATTAGGAGCAACTCGGTCTCAAATATACACATAAGAAACTTTTACTGACGTCTCTTAGAATAGAAATACAGTGTAGCTTTTATTCTATTTGCAACATCTATCACAAGTAAGGAACTTTCCGCCTGAGTTCACAGCCGATGAACGTGAAGAAGTAAGGACTAGGAAACAATAAAGGCAGCCTTCCAGTGGCTGGGGAATTTTACTGTTCGACATGGCAGCCTTCCAGTGGCTGGGGAATTTTACTGTTCGACATGGTAGTCTTCCAGTGGCTGGGGAATTTTACTGTTCGACATGGTAGTCTTTCAGTGGCTGGGGAGTTGTTCTGTTCGACATGGTAGTCTTCCAGTGGCTGGGGAGTTTTACTGTTCGACATGGTAGTCTTCCAGTGGCTGGGGAATTTTACTGTTCGACATGGTAGTCTTCCAGTGGCTGGGGAGTTGTTCTGTTCGACATGGTAGTCTTCCAGTGGCTGGGGAGTTGTTCTGTTCGACATGGTAGTCTTCCAGTGGCTGGAGAGTTGGACTGTTTGACATGGTAGTCTTCCAGTGGCTGGAGAGTTGTACTGTTCGACATTTTAGTCTTCCAGTGGCCGGGGAGTTGTACTGTTCTACATGGTAGTCTTCCAGTGGCTGGCGAGTTGTACTGTTCGACATGGTAGTCTTCCAGTGGCTGAGGAGTTGTTCTGTTCGACATGGCAGTCTCCCAGTGGCTGGGGAGTTGTACTGTTCGACATGACAGCCTCCCAGTGGCTGGGGAGTTGTACTGTTCGACATGACAGCCTCCCAGTGGCTGGGGAGTTTTACTGTTCAACATGGTAGTCTTCCAGTGGCTGGGGAGTTGTACTGTTCGACATGTCAGTCTTCAATTGGCTGGGGAATTGTACTGTTCGACATTGCAGCCTTCCAGTGGCTGGGGAGTTGTACTGTTTGACATGTCAGCCTTCCAGTGGCTGGGGAGTTGTACTGTTCGACATGACAGCCTCCCAGTGGCTGGGGAGTTGTATTTTTCGACATGACAGCCTTCTAGTGGCTGGGGAGTTGTACTGTTCGACATGTCAGTCTTCCAGTGGCTGGGGAGTTGTACTGTTCGACATGTCAGTCTTCAATTGGCTGGGGAATTGTACTGTTCGACATTGCAGCCTTCCAGTGGCTGGGGAGTTGTACTGTTCGACATGTCAGCCTTCCAGTGGCTGGGGAGTTGTACTTTTCGACATGTCAGCCTTCCAGTGGCTGGGGAGTTGTACTTTTCGACATGTCAGCCTTCCAGTGGCTGGGGAGTTGTACTGTTCGACATGTCAGTCTTCAATTGGCTGGGGAATTGTACTGTTCGACATTGCAGCCTTCCAGTGGCTGGGGAGTTGTACTTTTCGACATGTCAGCCTTCCAGTGGCTGGGGAGTTGTACTTTTCGACATGTCAGCCTTCCAGTGGCTGGGGAGTTGTACTGTTCGGCATGTATTTATAACTGACTCGTAGAACCTCGGCAAATAGAAAGTTGTGTCTTGCAGGGTGGTATAGACAGAACGGTGATTGAGGGTGCATTTTGCGGAAAACGAGACAGATTCCAACCTCCGCGAATGCGGATACATACAATTAAAGATGCATTGGCTATGAAAGCACATAGGGCTGGAGAAATGGCTATAGAAAGGCGTGCCACGAAGAGAGACACTATGTACAGGACATGCTGATTAACTGATTGTCTTGCATTTAGATTGACTTTCATCGTGGGATTAAACTCAGTTAAGAGGTATACAGTGGATTTTCTGCCATGGACATTCGTTGTGTGGGTGTTATTGAGCAGACTCTGACCTTCTTATGATAAATCTGGTGTGGTGAAGGCTGTCTGGTGAACCGTGCAGCAGAACAGACAGAACACCCATTCCCGGATAGAATGATTCAGCTGGTAGTGATCAAAGGGTCCTGGCGATTTTCTACATGCAGAAAGAAAACAGAAGTAAAATCTAAATCAGCTGTATACAAAATCTCCAGTGTCAACCGACGAAGGGTCTGAGCCTGTAGGAGAAAGTCCCTAGGACATTAATTTTAATTCTTTTTGATTGAATGATTTACAGATTCACTGACTGAATCTGCCTAACACTGGGGTTGGCAAAAAGTGGCTGAAGTAGGGAAAAATATGTTTTTGTTTGCACACACAGCTACACAGTCAGACACACATAAACAGACACACATAGTTGCGTATATACGTATGTTCATACACACAAACGTACATACACACACACTTACGCACACACGCACACACATATATTCACACACACCCACACACACACACACACACACACATCTATAGTTAGTTGCTTGTCATTTACAGTACGTTGCGGAACCCCCCCCCCCCTTCCCCTCCCACCTTCTTCCCCCTGTTTATGGTTTCACTAACTAATTTTACGTTCAGTAGTTTGCCATTACTTGCTAAACGGTGGAATCTCGATACCACTGTTGAAACTAACGCAAGACAATCTGGCGCTAAATCACCCACAACTGGTATCGAACCTGTCACCACAGAGTTATAAAGGGCGTTCGCAAAACCTAAGCCACAGACGCATGCACGCACGCACGCACACACACACACACACACACACACACACACATATATATATATACATATACATATAATTACAAGTTGTTGGAAACTTTAAACCATCTATCTCTGCCTGTAGGTATTCCTGCTTCATGCTTGCTAATGCTAAAGCTGACGTTCGATAATGGACATATTAAAGACGAAGGCAGACATATATGGTTAAATATTCGCAATAAAGAAAACGCTGTCGTGGAAAATGACCCCACAGCAGTTGGAGGGAAGAGCGGATCATTTAGGTAAGCTTCTTCCTCAAATAAATGTGCCAACAGTTTATTACATACATTTTTTTTAAAAACTGGTCACTTAAAGAATGACAATATTGCCACTTCACATACGATGTAAAACTCCTTAAATATAACAACGTAGTTTTTATTGGACGACAATCATATCTTTACATTCAGCCTATGTTATCGTAAACTTTACATTATTATATACTGTCCAAGCTATTATATATTTACTCTTATCACATTTTAAATGTTAATTAGTTTCTATTATTCTATTTTATTTCATATTATTACTTTATTCTATTTCTTATCAGTATCATTTATGTATCATTAACATTTGCATTTCTTTTATTCCTAGTATTATATTATATATTAACAAAACTACTGTTTATTACTTTTTTTGGTCACTATATTCTTTAACCATCGTTAATTTTATTTGATTTCATTCATTCCACATCACATTTTTTTAAACGTTGCTCACATCACTCCTTAGAGATCTACATACTCTCCTCTCCTCGTTGTTACGTTTATGTAGTTCACTTATGTTTGAAAAAGGCTGCCTGGCCGAAATGTTACGTTGTGTGGTTTTTGTGCACGTTTTTCTGCTTTCCCATTTTGTTAAGCTTTTTAGTCAAATTTCTCTGGAATTCTTTATTATATATAAGGGAATCACCATCATCATCAATTTTCATGTATGCCGTTAAGTGCCTTAAAGAAGCAGTTTTGCAATCCATTGCGTAATGGATAGCAATGACTATTGTCATTCCCCGACGATGTAGAAGGTATTTAATGTCATCAATCCATATATCCCAGATCAACCTCTTGATTTCCCATCCGATCTTTTCAGATGTTGCACATGAGTTGGTAGTTGTTATGGTCGCATTCTAACGAGATAATGAAAATATTCTATCTTCTGTTTATCGATGAATTTGACGCATGCTGTTGTTTCCAAGATCTGTCTGATAGTATAATTTCTCACCTCTTCTTTAGGAATCTCATTTCGCACATAAAAATGAATAATAGGCTTGACAAAAAAAAAAAAAAAAAAAAAAAAAAAAAACGAAAGAATAAACAAACCGGAGGCTGCGCAAATGTAATTTATTAACACAGTTTTCACATAGCGTCGGTTTCTATGCAACTGAGCTGGGTGCTTGTTGTAACACTGTGAGCTGGGTGTTTCCGATGGCGTATCTTTTTTTTTTTGGGCTTTCAGCGGTTTGTGTCGAATATTCAGATAATGGCTAGTGGCCGTGTGTACAGCAAGTGTTTCGTGACAATATTTTCATCAACGACAGTTCTAACGACGACTATTGGAGTTGGCACATCTAGCAACTGCCTTATGCATTTACTACATGTTTATGTTTCTAGATTTTGCAGAGATAAATTTATTTAAATGGGGCAGTTCAAAATGCGAATGTGTATTATAAACTATTTCACATTCATAAAAGAACAAACCAGAAGAGTTGAGTCTCCATTTTTCAGAAATATTTGGATAATGCCGTGTGACAGGTAGAAGAGAAGGTAGCGAGTATCGAAGAAATATTTTCTCATGAACAGCCCCAATAGATGTAAACAAGATAACCTGACCTCATAAAGCTCATATTATGTAATATCGAAGGCCTAAGTTAAGACTGGATATAAACATACAATAGTACACACACAAAAAGGACTTAAAAAAAAGAACAAACGAAGGAGTCTCCGAGAGCCTCAAATCTCACAGTATCACCACACTCACCAAGCAATCTAGCGAGCCCTAGCTCGGCTACCTATCTTCTTTTATACTGCGACACCTAGCGAAACAAACAAGCTTTTAGATACAAGAAAGACAGACAAAGAAAAACACGAATCTGAATAAAATACGTTTGTGTGTAAGTATGCCTTGGTCCTGTATCAGTTTAAGACGAAAAAAAAAAAGTAAGTTCTACAGATTAGGTTATGTAAATACATGCTATATTCTGAATCGACAATGTACACAGCAGCTTTGCTTGCAGTGCTAATGTACGCTTGCGAAACAAGGACTGTATACAGACGTCATGCAAAGCAGCTCAACCACTTCCATACACTCTGTCTAAAAAAAAAAAATGGTGAAAATCAAATTGCAAGAAAGGGTCCCGGATACGTTCTTACTGGACAGAGATGGCATTTCTAGCATACCATCCTGATACAGAATTCCAATATCATCGCAGAGTGTTGATCGTATGCGTGTAAATGATTGCCGTTGCCAGTCGAACTGTGTAGCTTTGTTTATGTTGCCCTATATTGCAGAGGATCATCCATTGCCATCCCATACTTCAAGAGCAATGTGCTAGGAGAAGTGTTCCACATAGGCTTTATGTTCAAGCTGTGCCCGGGAGACCCTGACACTGACATACCTCTGGTGCACAATGACTGCATTGAGAGCGGAGATGACGGCCCAGGCATTATGGTGAGTTGAATTTGACAGATCTTGTACCAGGAGCTTTGACACAAGGGACGCATTGGCTGGAGGGTGAGAGGGTTTTGGTGTGTGTGTGACAGATCTTGTACCAGCTTCTATGACACAAGGGACGCATTGGCTGGAGGGTGAGAGGGTTTTGGTGTGTGTGTGACAGATCTTGTACAAGCGGCTTTGACACAAGGAACGCATTGGCTGGAGGGTGAGAGGGTTTTGGTGTGTGTGTGACAGATCTTGTACCAGCTTCTATGACACAAGGGACGCATTGGCTGGAGGGTGAGAGGGTTTCGGTGTGTGTGTGACAGATCTTGTACCAGCTTCTATGACACAAGGGACGCATTGGCTGGAGGATGAGAGGGTTTTGGTGTGTGTGTGTGTGACAGATCTAATTCCAGCTTCTTTGACACAAGGAACGTATTGGCTGGAGAGTGAGAGGGTTTTGGTGTGTGTGTGTGACAGATCTAATACCAGCTTCTTTGACACAAGGAACGTATTGGCTGGAGGGTGAGAGGGTTTTGGTGTGTGTGTGTGTGACAGATCTAATTCCAGCTTCTTTGACACAAGGGACGCATTGGCTGGAGGGTGAGAGGGTTTTGGTGTGTGTGTGTGACAGATCTAATACCAGCTTTTTTGACACAAGGGACGCATTGGCTGGAGGGTAAGAGGGTTTTGGTGTGTGTGTGTGACAGATCTAATTCCAGCTTCTTTGACACAAGGGACGCATTGGCTGGAGGGTGAGAGGGTTTTGGTGTGTGTGTGACAGATCTTGTACCAGCTTCTTTGACACAAGGGACGCATTGGCTGGAGGGTGAGAGGGTTTTGGTGTGGTGGTGGGGGAGGGGGGCAGTTCCGGGTAAAGGGTCCAAGCCCTTCACAAATGTTCTGGGCGGTGGGGGTCTTAAAATGCCTAAGCCAAGTTTAACTGCATAATAATAATAATAATAGTAGTAGTAGTAGTAGTAGTAGTAGTAGTAGTAGTAGTAGTAGTAGTAGTAGTAGTAGTAGTAGTAGTAGAAATAGTAGAAATAGTAGAAATAGTAGTAGTAATTATAGTAGTAATAGTAGTCGTAATAGAGTAGTAGTAGTAGTAGTAGTAATAGTAGTAGTAGTAGTAGTAGTAGTAGTAGTAGTAGTAGTAGTAGTAGTAGTAGTAGTAGTAGTAGTAGTAGTAGTAGTAGTAGTAACAGCCATAGTAAAGTAAGTCAGGGACCCAGTTCACGCAAGGGGGCATCAGACAAATGATGTGAGACTAATATTTGTATAGATTAGCATCTATGGGTGATGTGGTAACATCCAGCCTCCCACCTTCACTTCCTAAGGAATACTCTACTACACATTATAGGCTGGGTCGACCTTTGAGACAAGATCCTTTTTTTATATGTTAACAAAAATGGCAAAGCTTACAGTAACAGTAATACTCGATGAACAGAAATCCTAGACGATATGTTTGATTATATTCTTCTTCTTCTTCTCTTCAACCATTTACCTCTTCGAGTTGTTGGGGGGAGGGGGTGGGGTGGTGGGGGGGGGGGGGTGTAAGGACCGTTTCTGCACTTTTCCCAATGTATTATACATGCTGGTGTGCATTTCCGTATGATAGCTCCTGATGATGTCGCTCCATCTCTTGTGTGGTCTTCCTCTTGATTTGTGTTCATTATTTTTCTTCAGCGTAGCTCTCTGTGGCAGTTGGTACAAGGTATTCTCGTCAGGTGACCAAACCATCTCATTTGTTATTCTTTAATGAACTGTTTGGCTGGTTTCAGTCCTAGTCTTCTTCTAATTTCGCCATTCTTGATTTTATCTCTTCTTGTCTCACCGGCAGCTCTCCTAAGCTCTCCATCTCTCTTGTTATGATCTTCCGCTCATTAGTTGTAGTAAGGGTCCATGTTTGGCTCTGGTAGCACAATGTTGGCCAAAAAGCCATTCTTATGAAATTTTCTTTGGTTGACAGAGTTATCTTTCTGTGCGCCAGAAGCGATGTTGGATGTTTGATTATAAAAGACGAAAAGTACTCTTCATTGCCAGCTTGGTCTTTATGGGTTCGAATTTGATACCGATTATTTAAAAAAAAAAAAAAAATGGGAAAGAGAATGGCCAGGGCGTCCATGTCGACGCAGCCTGAAATGTATACCAGAAAACGCCATGGAAAAAACTTGCTTGCTTGTTGTACCCCACCATGACATCACACAAGCGATAAACACCTGGTGACACAAAGTGCCACCACGCGGATGAGGATCACCCGTGGAGAGGTCCCAGAAACCTCTTTCAGCCGTTATGGCCATATTTGTGGCCCAGCTATATTCAGGGGCCCCGGCAAAAGCCAGAGTTGGGCTTCAAATAATAAAAAAATTGCATCCTACAAAGGGGAAGACTATGTATATCACTATGGGAAGTAAACGATAGAGGCGTGTTGTTTGTCAATCGACTGGTCTTTAAAACAGGGCCGTTATTTATACACTCGATGTTACTAAAAGCATGGAGAAGTCCTTCATGTTTTCTTGTGCATGAATTTTCTGCTGAATGTTTTATATGTTGACACACATGTGAAGCACTGCCAGCAACAGGACAGACGCTGTAAAGAAATGTTTGGGAATGGGCACTCAGGGTTCTTAAAACTTTTTGGTGGCGGGACTTAAAAGGGCTTTTTTTTCAATGAGCAATAATAATAATAATTTTAATAATAACTACTGTTATTGTATGCTTAATAAAAAAACAAATGTGATTATATAGTTGAAATAATATGACATATATAAACAAGTAATAAAAAAAATAACGTCTACAAATCGTTTATGTGGCCATTTAGCCTTCCTGGAAATTTTCCAGTGAACATTGGGGACAGGGGGGGGGGAGGGGGGAAGGGGGGGGGGGGAGTGGCACAGTGGCTCAAACGGTCAGACGTCCTCAGGTCCTCGCGTGTATTGGTTGTCAGTGTTAGAGGCGTGCGTTGAACGTCATTCACATTGACAAGGTCATTATGACGATGGTATTATTGGCATCCGATGATTCACTGCTAGCAGATCTAACTATTCTCACCAGAAGTATGTAAATCTGGATTGTTCCATTGCTTATATTGTTGAGGGGGTGTGAGGAGTTCCTCGTTATCGTGTAGCCGGTCCTTTACAGAACGTCGCTCTCATCACAGCCCGCCTGATAGGAACTGTCCCACGCCAGCACTCAGCCTCGTGTACTTTCCTACTTATAGTGCCTCTTTATGTCCTGTGCAATCCTCGTGTGGGTTCCAGGCCCCACTGTCAGAGAACAAAATTGACCCACTGCCACCCCAAAAAGCATATAGTAAAAGTCAACTAAATGGGGAGTGGGGGCGGGGGCAGGGGGCGGGGGTCCTATGAAGTCTGACTTCATCTGCCCGAGAGGCAAGGAATATGCATACAGATAAGTCAGATCTATAAAACGTATGTGCACGCAACACTCAGAATCTGAATCAAGACTAACGTCCAGAGATGGACGAACAACCAGAACTTTCCGCCGGAGTTACAGCCGGTAAACGCGAAAAAGAAGAAGATATTATGTACCCGTTTCGTGCTGGTCGACCCCAGTTCCTATTTCATGGTGCCGTGCCCTACGCTACCATTTTTTCCAATACACCAGGGCGTTTGATATGGCCAAAATAGCTCAGTTTCCGAGTCAAGGTGTCGTTTACTAGCAAATCTTCCTTGAGGTTAAGATCTTTTAGGTTGTCAAAATTTCTTTTCTTCTTGATCTATAGTATACACATCCAAATGTTGCTATAGGGAAGATACAAGTGTTAGGCTTTCTCATGTCACACGTGGAGTGGGCTGGCTATTTTACTCCCCATTCTCCTGTCCTCTTCAAGCAGTTATCGAAAAATTGTTAATGTGGCTAGGTCGACCTGAAAGCCGCGACTGTAAGAAAGTCACGTTCCCTTCTAAGATTAAACCCCAAACTCTATCTCGACAGCGAAGAGCACTATTCGCTATGCCACCGACGGTCTATGCATCTGTGTTTTACGCCCTTACTAAGTCTTTGAATAGTTCACAATGTTCACTCACGTAGGTCCGAAGTAATGATTGTTGTCAAGCTGTGCAGAACCTAAATGAGACATACAAACTCTATCCTGTTAAAATGGTGTTTAATTTTCAGATAGTCTATCAAGCATGGAGAAAGCAGGTGGTCGTGTCAATGAGAACTGTCAATTCACCGGTGTTGGTTTCAGAGTACTGTACTGTTGGAAAAGCTCAGGTATGTCAACGAGACTATAATAATATTCTATTCGACCAAACCAGAATAGGACACATCAGACAGTATAATCATTCATGCAAAATGACAACTTCCTCTTCCTGTTGAGCAATTCATTAAAGAACAACAAATGAGGTGGTTTGGCTATCTGACGAAAATGATTTAGTACCAACTGCCACAGAGAGTCACGCTGAAAAAAAAAATATAATGAACACAGAGCGAGGGGAAGACCACGCAAGCGTTGGAACGACATTACCAGGGGCAACCTAACAAAAATGAACACCAACTTGTACTATACATTGGAAAAAGCCCACAAACAATCCTTACATTTACTTAACACCTCGATGAGGTCAATGGTGGAGGAGAAGAAGTTAAAAATCTAAATGGTTTCACATAACTGTGTTACATTTCTAAGGTCATTTTTAACAGAGACAACATAAATATACCTATTAAAATTATGGGCGCATTGAAAAAGAAATGTACACTGTTTATAATTTCCTTCATTGTCAAGTTGAAGACTTATTTCTAGATATTTTATCTCTCGGTTCAAACTTTGCTGTCATGTTCTCAGAATGACTGGACGAAAATTGACATCCGCTACAGCAATAACTTCCTGGAGGTGCGTGCCAACAATCAAGTATGCGTGGAGTCCAACAAGTATTACGGTAAGTACCACAAATCACTTTTGTTAGGCAGATCGGTACACAGTGATAAGTGGGAAACCTCGTGACAACTTTTGTCTACATCCAAATGTCTAATGTGGGCTCTGGGTGAGCGTAATAGTTGTGGCATAGAATACATAGAGAAACCTTAACTTGATGGTCGTAGTCGTTGTACAATGTCTGCTGACTTTATTGGGATCACCGGTCATCCACATGGGGGATGCAATTTTTTGTTTTTTTACAGCTCCACCCTGGCTTTTGCTGGGGGCCCTGAATATAGCCGGGACTATAAATATAGCCTGACGTCTGAACCTGGTTTCTAGGAACTCTCCACGGGTGATCCTCATCCGCATGGTGGCACTTTGTGTCACCGGGTGATTATCGCTCTGTGTGATTTCCTCGTGGGGAACATTTACTTACTCACTTACTTACTTACTTGGGATTACCGGATCTACTAATTTTATTACAAATTGTTGTACTTAACAAACGACATTGCTAAATGAGCTCAGAACTCCAGTTGATGATAACTTTACTGGATATCTCGAAAAATCACTCTTGTTGGATTAACTTGTTTGCTGACTGAGGATTGATCAGCTCACTGTCAGCATCATAACACCAGCAATGAAGAAGATAGTTAGTTAGTTGGGTCAGGAATTGACATCACAGCACTCGGGGTATTCCCATGCCTGCTCCGTCCTCATCTTCAGCAACCAGCGCAGAGTTCCAATACCGATGGTACCGGTCACAATCTGGTTATAGGTCTGTCTCGCCTTTCCTCTGATTGTAGCGAGTCGGCCAATCCCTCTGGTTACACTCAGGTGCCTCATTCTCTCCAGGCCATAATAATTTTGTTTCTCTACTGATTCCGTTTCTTGTTCCCAAAGGGCCTTGACAACATCTGCCCTGTCATGCATCAGTAGAATCACCAATGTAGATGATATGTGCCAGGAGAAGTGCACGGGTTTCCGTGTTTAGTGTAAACCTTCGACTGTTCACTTAATTTGCAGCAGTGAGTTTTAACAATGTGTATTACTATAGAGCATTATTATATTATACAAGCGGTTATTTAATAATCATGTATCATGGGCGGGAATTCTCTCTTGTGCATCCTGCATATATTAAAAAAAAAAAAAAAAAAACAGCAGTGCATAACACATTTTTCTCACTGTATTGTAGTCATACACGTGATTGTTTTACACCAAAGGTACATAACCAGAAGAGGCTCCGGCTCAACTTCTTAGGAAATTTCTCCAAAATGTGGAACTTCCGGACTCATCACTATCTCCCTTATTCCCAGACCAATCACCGACAACCAAGGACACCCCCCCCCCCCCCCCCCACCCGGATACCAGAAACAGGAGAGACTACAGAAAGAACAGAAACGGATGACCCAACAATAGAATGAGACGAAGGGATATGGCGGGACTTTTTAGAAGAGCTAGCTGAGATGAGAAACCCTGATCAAGAAGAATTTATGAAATACATGCTCGTAAAAGAAGAATTATACTATAGACACAACAAAAACTATATCGATGGACTGGCACACAAATACGGGGACAACCTTTCCGAAGAAGGAAACACACAAGAACATTCAAATCTTCGGACATTTTACGACGCAAATACAAAAGACTTCAAGGCAACAGCGGAAAGATGGTACCAAAGATGGAGAAAATATCATTATGACACAATCTAATCAACAAAAAGGAAATAGACAACCGTAAAATAAACCAAAGAGAGGCCATAACCCTTCTATGGCCGACCTTCCCCATACCCCCCTTCTTTCTTGTGTTTTTCTTTTTAAAGTTTTTGCACATAACACAAAGCAGACACAATCATACGGCAACTGATGTAAACAGACTAAACAATACAAAGCAAATAGACAAATATTCACACGATAGCAAGAAAACACAATATTCGCAAACACACAGAGTTGTAATAAAAGGGAACACTCCAAAAAAAAAAAAAAAATAAATAAATAAATAAATAAATAAAACAACAACAACAAAGGTACATAATGTATGTATTTATTAAACACCATATTTGTGTTATTTTGAGATCTACCTACAGTGTTAATGCTGCTCACTTAGTCTCTCTCTCTCTCTCTCTCTCTCTCTCTCTCTCTCTCGCATATATACATGTATATGTATATTTGAACACTCACAGCTAAAAAGATAGAGAGAAACACACACACAGAGAGAGAGAGAGAGAGAGAGAGAGAGAGAGAGAGAGAGAGAGAGAGAGACCTTCGATACAAAATAAAATATATATGACAGGACCAGCATTTAAATGCATTATTTCCTTCTGTATCGTATCTGTCGGTTCTGTATTGTAAGAAGACTTAGAAATAAATGATAACTAATAATATTGTTTAGGCAACTATGGTATTTTCTCTTTATTCGCTACTGGATTAAATGTAAACCATATACTGTTCTTCACAGGTGTTATAGCAACAAATAACTGCCCATTGACTCTCCTGGGCGAGGCTTTCTGTGGGAGTATAGACGAGGTAATAATCAATGACACCTACGTGAATAGTTTTCATAGTTGTGTATTTTTGTATTATTACGTATACTAGCATGCAATCTGAGTTGAGTTTATTCAAGAACTGACATTACAGTACACGGGGCATTCCCATTAGCGCTCCGTCCCCATCTTCAGCAGCTAGTGAAGAGCTCCGATACTAATGGTGCCAGTAGCATTCTGATTAAACGTCTGTCTTGCCTTTCCTCTGAGCCTCGAGCATCTGCCAGAACCTCGCGTCACTGTGGTGATCCATCTGCTCCTCCGAATTGTACACACTCTCCCACAAGGCACTAACCACGGCTGCCTTATCATGCATCATGTGATCTAACGTTATTTGCTTGCTTGCATTATCACAAACGCAATGTGACACAATAGCTGAATAATAAATATGTTTGTTTTAGTGTACTAAAAAACAGAAACACATCTGGGAACATTAAATGTTTGAGAAAAAGATAAAACAGATACAAAGAGATATACAATTGACAGAGCCATGGAAAAGTAACATAAAATGAAGAACATCTAATGTTATAAATGCTATCATTAAAAGTTATAAAAAAAATGTCACAAAGAACCATCAAACGTGTAGCCTTCAAATCTGTAAACAATTTAGAAATTTCGTTGGTTCTACAGAAGAATGTTGACAATTCCTTTTAATAGTTATAATGCATAATTGACTATCCTTCGAATAACGGGCACTAAAAATGGCGGCCGCAAAATATCCGTTCGAGCCGCAGTCACGTGTCAATTGCTGGCTTCCGGCTACTTAATTTGCGGTTTTCCGCCCAAAACCGCTACCGCCACGTGGCTATAACTCCGCTCACGCAGCGTGGATTAGGGCTAAACTAGATGGCTAGGACTCACGAGCAGCAGCTTCCGCATCTCCTGCGTGAGCGGCGTGGGAACCACGTGGTGGTGACGATAGTCGCCGGAAAACCGCAAATTAAGTAGCCGGAAGTGACACGTGACTGCGGCTCGAACGCATATTTTGCGGCCGCCATCTTTAGTGCCCGTTATTCGAAGGATAGCCGCATAATTTATATGTTTGGTGAAGCGAAGGAGAAAACTCATTTCATCACAAACAGGTAGTTGTCCCCCCCCCCTTTCCACCCTGCCTCCCCCTTTCCGCCCCTTCCCCCCCCCCCCCCGGCCGCCAATACATTATAGGGAAAAAAGAAATTGCATCATGTCACAACTTGAAATATTTGTGGAAAGAGACTAGAAAAATTAAACGGGGGAAGATCATTGACAGCATTTGGTAATGGCATGGACAGCACACATATTTTTGGCGATAGCAAAATCTGAAGACTTATGATAAGCACATGCCATCTATACATAAATGTTTGCGATCGGTATGTGAAGTTAAAACAAAAACAAAAAATTTAGCATCATTCTACACTACCAAAGCAGTCAATGAAATGGGAAATAGAGGAAATTATTAAACGAGGACGTCATAAAGAAAGCAGATGAAAGAAGTCAAAACTGCTAGACTGGATTCCATCCATCCATCCATCCATCCATCCATCCATCCATCCATCCATCCATCCATCCATGGTATTGAAGTGATAGCACAGAGTAGCATGGAACAGGGGATGGACTGTGAGCCCTATGCGACATATAATGGCACAGCAGCACAATGAATGAATGAATCATTCGACATTAATGTCACTGTTATCGTCGAAGTGACTGCTATACGTTAATTGTAAAATGTTATCTAAGAATTTTTTGTTTTTTCAACTACAGATTGTCATTACTCGAGGTTGCACAAGCGCACACGCCGTGTCTTGAACTTTTCTCAGCTCCACGATGGTTGCACACTCTACCTAAAGTTGTCGTGTACCATTCATAGATGATCAGTGTTATTGTTAAAATGTTAACGAGTTCTGTTCATTCAATTAAATTTATTATATTTCTTGACACGGAGGAGTTTCTTCATTTTAGCAGATGTATTCTTGTTGTTTGACTTATTTAATCCTTTAAGCTGTTATTTAAGCAACAGCATTTTTTATTAAACAGCAATAAATTCAAAGCTAGGGAGATGCACAACAACTGGGAACTCTGAATGCAGCCACACTCAGTATAAAATAAAAGAACCAAAGAAGCAGACACTGGAGACAGGAAAAAAGAAGAATAAGAAGGAGAAGAAGAAGAAGAAGAAGAAGAAGAAGAAGAAGAAGAAGAAGAAGAAGAAGAAGAAGAAGAAGAAGAAGAAGAAGAAGAAGAAGAAGAAGAAGAAGAAGAAGAAGAAGAAGAAGAAGAAGAAGAAGAAGAAGAAAAAGAAGAAGTGGAAGAAGGAGCATACCAAGAATGCGATGTCAGACAAAACGATAGACAGACAGACAGACAGACAGACAAACAGACAAAACGAACGAACCAACGCTTTATTTTCAAAGGGTCAATAATTGGACACGCAGGCCCGTCTTACATTTAACCCCTAGAAGACCCCATCTTTCACGCAGCAGTAGTATTTTATCAATAAAGCATGTTATGTTCATAGACAGACAGACAGACAGACAGACAGTTAGGTTGATAGAATGACAGACATTCAGATATTTAGGTTGAAAGAATAGATAGATAGATAGATAGATAGATAGATAGATAGATAGATAGATAGATAGATAGATAGATAGATAGATAGATAGATAGATAGATAGATAGATAGATAGATAGATAGATAGAGATAGATAGATAGATAGATAGATAGATAGATAGATAGATAGATAGATAGATAGATAGATAGATATAGATAGATAGATAGATAGATAGATAGATAGATAGATAGATAGATAGATAGATAGATAGATAGATAGATAGATAGATAGATAGATAGATAGATAGATAGATAGATAGATAGATAGATAGATAGATAGATAGATAGATAGATAGATAGATAGATAGATAGATAGATAGATAGATAGATAGATAGATAGATAGATAGATAGATAGAGAGATAGATAGATAGATAGATAGAGAGATAGATAGATAAATACGACAGACAGACAGACAGGACAGACAGACAGACAGACAGACAGACAGACAGACAGACAGACAGACAGACAGACAGACAGACAGACAGACAGACAGACAGACAGACAGACAGACAGACAGACAGACAGACAGACAGACAGACAGACAGACACAGACAGACAGACAGACAGACAGACAGACAGACAGACAGACAGACAGACAGACAGACAGACAGATAGATAGATAGATAGATAGATAGATAGATAGATAGATAGATAGATAGATAGATAGATAGATAGATAGATAGATAGATAGATAGATAGATAGATAGATAGATAGATAGATAGATAGATAGATAGATAGATAGATAGATAGATAGATAGATAGATAGATAGATAGATAGATAGATAGATAGATAGATAGATAGATAGATAGATAGATAGATAGATAGATAGATAGATAGATAGATAGATAGATAGATAGATAGATAGATAGATAGATAGATAGATAGATAGATAGATAGATAGATAGATAGATAGATAGATAGATAGATAGATAGATAGATAGATATGAACAGTCAGTAGTAAGATTTATATACTTAGTTTAACCCCACGTAATCAGGGCTGTATAAAGAACAAGTATGGCTAATGTCAATTTTAAAAATAAAATTGAAAAATATAAAGAAGAAAGAAAACAACTGCGACCAGAAAAAAAAAAAAAAAATCTGTCATACAGTTGAACTATCAAGTGCAGACAAGTGTCTGTTCTTGGGTGACAAATTTAGAACATTTACGTCCTGCAGTGTATTTTGTGTAATCTGACTTTTATCTCTTGGCTGTAGCATTATTTGTAAAGCGGTGCAGGCTGCCGGAACATTGTCACACTTGGCACGCTTTCATTTAATTTCTCTTACAATGTGCAAAGTGTCCTGAAATAACCCAAGCCACATTCTCTTTAAAAAGCCATGTGCAAGGTCAGTTTTCAGCACACTGAAATATATTTTGAAAAGACACATTTCTTTGCGCTAGTCGTATCTCCAGAGTTTATTTAAAGTTCAAGAGTTTCTTACAGTTTTACTAAAATATGGTAACAATGTCAAAATATATCGTATTCTCTTAATGCACAGTCGCATTAAGACATAAATAGGTAAGAATTACAATGTAGATATGAATGAATGGAATATCTTGTAAACAGAAAAGGGAGGTAATTTCTAATTTTCTTGATAAAAGATTCACCGGTGATCTCTAAGACCGTTGTTATATTTTTACACAGATTATTAGTCTACCGTGACAGACTAGTTGTTGCTAGTATACTGTTTCAAGTTGTCTACATTGTTTATACTGGTATTATATTTCTTCACATCACTTCCCTTCCTATACAAATGTGCCATACTTGTTTCCCTGTCAAAAAACATCTCATCAACGTAAACATATCGTTTGCGTGGTCGAGCTTTTCTTTTTTCGTCCTCAAAAGTACTTGGACTTGGACTTGCGTTTACATAGTTAACTATTTCGTCCTTTTTAAGACGAAATTTTTTGTTATTTGAAGCCCCACCCTGACTTTTGCCAGCGGCCGCAATATAGGCAGGCCATACATATGGCCAATTGTCTGAACGCGGTTTCTGGGACCTCTCCACGGTGATCCTCATCCACATGGTGGCACATTGTGTCATCGGGTGTTTATCGCTTGTGTGATGTCCTGGTGGGGTAGAAAGTCAGTCAGTCAGTCAGCGTCTACATTTTTGTAATCAAAATAACACACAAAACTAGCACTACCCCACAACATCGAATGGAACAATGTGTATAAGAAGAATCTTTTGAAAATTTTGGCTAAAAGAAGATCACAGATGAACTGAGGAGAAAAACAAAATGTTCATCACTAGAAACCGCGGCCTGTTCCAACCACAATGAAGACAAAACTGTACTGACAGAAGGATCGAAGAAGTAGACTAGAAAAAATTAAAGGACAAATGGACAGCAATGGGAGCAGAAAAAAAAAAAAAACCCGGCGAAAGGCAACCGAAATACAGTAGAACAGAAATGAATGAATACAAAATAGATCCGAAACAATGGAAATCAATTTTGAAAGCCTTATGTGTTAACAGCAACAAGTAGAAAATATAGAGAGATGGAATAATATTTCTGCTGTAGATGCCAGAGCATTCAAACATTTCATGAAATACTAGAGCAGACACATTTGAGAAAGGGCGGTGCGGCAGGGGTGTCATGAAACTACAACCTCTAACGACTAAAACGTATAACTGCCAAGCACTAGGGAGTTAAGTTCATCAAGATGTTTGCCTTATCAGTTGCTAAGTGGTTTATAGTAATATACCGTGCATAAGTCGAGGTCGAATGTGTACTGAAATAACTTAAGTTAAGAGGACTAGATTACATTTAGACAAATGTATATAGTTTAAAATTTTAGATAGCTTTTAAAATATATTTTGAAACATAAATAGCATAAACAAGTCATTAATGCCACGTTTAAATTGATCCAAATTTTGAAACACCCAGCTATCCCAGCAAAGATAAAAACGCAAATTATAAACGTTTACATACTTATTTGTCGTACACAACCTTGTGGGATCAGTTTCATACTTGGAGATAAATGGGGGGAAAAAAACAAAACCCCAGTATCTTCGAAATGGGATTTTTAAGAAAGGCTGCTAACAAAACTAACTTCGGTCCATTGATACCTTGCGACTCTATAACATCACATCATACCGGGCAACCGAGCGTGCCCTGGCTCGAAAACCGATCATCCGTTAACCTGAGACGCCTAGTGACACAAAGTAGAAAAGGGGGTGGAGGGGAGGGGGAGGAAGAAATAGTTTATAACATTAAAAAATGATAAAGGAACAAGTGAAAGGTAAACACACATGTAGAATCGAGTTAAAAAGGAAATATAAACATTATAGTTAGAATAATATAGAAGATTTCGTACATTTACATCATGAGAAAGACAAAGAATGCCATGAGAAAGAAACCAGTCTAAACTACACCTAGCATAAACATTAAATTATCATGTTGCTCTGTGATACTGTATACGTAACACCTGATGGCCATATTGTTCACATGTAACTAAGCCGCACACACATCTAAACAAACTAATGTTTTTAACAGTTTCTTAAATTAAAACCAGTATTATTGTTTCATTCTCAGTAATATTTGCTCAATTTAAATGTTCAGTAATAACAGAGCCGTTCTTCTGGTGCAACAGCACAGAAGAGAAGCATCTATGTGATAAATGAGTTAATGAATCTAGAACGGAGAGGTTGGCATTTTTCCTCTGTGCTCTGTGTCGTTTTCTTCAGTAGCAAATGAAGAGTTCCATCGTTGTCGTGCAAATGGCTCAGAAAAAGATATCAAACTAGTACATGCACTTCGTTTCTCCACCGATACAAACGCGACAGTCTCTACTTGTAGTGTGGTGTGGTGTGTGTGGTGTGTGTGGGTCGCGTGTGTGTATGTGTGTGTGTGTACGTATTGTCCATCAAGATGATGATGACCACTCTTTTTCATCAAGTATGAGTACGAAGATGACTGATGAGGCCGATGCTGGCCCGAAAAGTTCTTGGTCAGTGAGGACAGGGAATAAGTGATGTGCCAAAGATGGGGTCTCCTGCAATCGCTTTCTGTCCATCATTTTCCTAATCAGTCTTGCTGTTCTGTTTGCTTCATGCCTTTGTGTAGAGTTGCACGCCGTGCATTTCGGTCTTTAGAGTCTGTGGTATACGAGCTAAATCTCAACGATGTTTGCTGCATATCTTCTCTTCTTCTTTCTTCTTTCGTTCGCCTGAAATAAGTTATCTATATCAG